GGGGGGGGGAGCGGGTGAGTACAGATGTTTCTAATCAATTGCTTCCATGTGATTGACCGCCTGACGGACCGGCAGCTGATTGGCTCGCCCGACCTGGTCGAGTTTTCGACGACTGGTAAAACTCATCTGAAGACTTAGCTCGTTAGTTAATTGACGTCGGTGACATGCCGGTTGTCATAGCAACAGATTGGCTAAGCGACAATGCTAACGCCGATTGAGAGGAATGTATAGTCGCTGTACAGATGATGTAATGCGGCCGCACCCTTCCTCCTCGTCTTCGCTTTCGTTCGTTTCTTGCATGTAGAAGCTTATATCAACATTTGTGCACACGCGCGCACACACACACACACACACACACACACACACACACACACACACACACTCACGCACGCACACACACATACGCACGCACACACACTCACACGCACACACACACACACACTCTCCTCTTTTGTTGATGTTTTCAATTGTGTAAATAAAAGCCAGTTTATGTTGAAATTCCTTCTCTCGCTCTCAGTTCTCTTTCTCCTGCCCCCCCCGTCCCCCTCCCCCCTCCCCCGCCCCCCTCCCCCCTCCCCTCTCTCCATCCTCTCCATAAGACAGACACAGACTGCATGAACAAAAACATTTAGGTGGGCCAAGTTCACGTCTGGGAGGGGCCGCTAAAGGGGGCCCAGGGGTGCGCACCGAGGGCCAGATGTGCTTTCTTTTGAGGGGGTGTGGAGGTGAAGAGGGAGGAGGGGTGCAGAAGAGAGAAACTGGGGAGTGTTTCACAAGGCTCTGGAGAAAATGCAGAGTCCCTGAAAGTGGAGTTGGAGAACGGCTAAGGAGATGTCATCGTGCTGTAAACTCACCTCCAGCTGCAGGAGATGTGTGCAGCTGCAAGGGTTGATTGTCAAAATAACGGAGTTTGTTCTTCAGTTAACAAAAACAGAGGGAGCTGTAGTCACAAAATAGCAGAAAAGCATAAAATGAAGATGCTGCAAATGTAATTCAGGTGTTGAATAAGTTGAAGAATCCGAGTGGTTGCATGATTAGCATAGACAAAGACATGAAACACAACATATTTCAATGTTCTCTGAAGAGTTCTCTGCAGACACTTGTGTGTTTGTCTTGCTCAACACTGGATGTAGCTTTAGCCCCGCAAGGAATCAGATGTTTTGCAGAAGTGAAAGTCGGTCTCCAAAAAAACAGCTCACAGTACTGACGGACTCAAAGGACCCACAGTAAGAGCAACTCGTAGATCAATGTTACAAACAATCAGCACCAAAGAAAGTCAAAAATCAGATGTGTTGCAACACAAAAAGCATCAGGACACAGGTTTCACTCGATATCGTTTGTGGCAGGTGGATCCATTTCTAATCGATATGCGATGCATTGACGGGGAACATAAATCAGCTACAAACAAAAGATACATTTCAACAAATACACAACTTGTCCTGACAGATATTTGCATCTGAAAAGACCACTTTTTTAAGCATTATTAAACTGTAGATTATGGGTCTAAATTAGCTTCAATGTAACCTTACATAAATGTGGCTGATAAGAAACAGAGACATTTCTGTTTGGTTGTAAATGTTCCCAAAAAGGGGATGGTGGACCACATTAAACAGTTATCAAATTAATCTTAGCAAGTATTAGATTAAATTAAACCCCTCAGCCTTGCGTCATCACCCATGAGACGACGAGGGTGAACGCAGGACAAATTATTATGATTGTTAGATTTACAGCGCAGGATGTGAGCAGCTGGTCTCTCAGTAAAACAGTTGTGAAATGAGGAGTGAAGCAGCTCCAGAGAGAAGGGGAGAGAGAGGACGGAGCGGCTCCACCCGTCTCCTCCTCAGAGTCCCGCGGGGGCCACGTCACCGCGTGCGATACTCCGATACTCTTGTGTGCACTTGCTGTCACTTTTGCGACGAGCTGAAAGAATCCACTCCGGTCACGCTGGTTGACCAGAGAGACTTGGCGTGGAAAAGCATTGGGTTGCGTTTAAGGACTGGGGAAAACAGAAAGCTTCCTTTTGAAGGGATGCAGTGAAATGTAATCATAACCTTGTGACAGTGTTATGCAAGATATCTGATGAGTAACAGGGATCTTTCTGCACACACTTGGGAAACACATTGAGCGCAAAACCAATGACACATGTGAGAGCTTCAGATCTCGTTAAAAGGGTTTAGCCTGCAACTCTATGAAACATGGAAACAAGACTAGCTTGAACTTAATCTAAAACATGACTGCTGTTTGCTTGCTTCTCCAAAGTTTGTCGGTCGCCTAAAAAGACTTGAACAGTTCTGAACATAAATGTGAGATATGACAACCTTCAGGTCCAGGCTAACTCTGTCCTTGTTTTTGTGGATGATACAACATTGTAAAGTCAACATATACGCACGGTCAATTCTTCAATAACAAAATCAATCAAATGAATCTAAAGCCATTTTCACATATGCACTCCTGAAAATTTCTACAGAATTACCCCCAAAGTCCTAAATGGATTCCCAAGCATCAAACCCATCCGTTGTTCTGGACTAGTCTTGCATTTTCTGTTTCTTTAAAACCAATTCGATGAACTTAAAGGCTTTATATGCTTTATATTTTTTTGATCCAGCAGATGTCGCCCTTGAGCACCAGCATGAAACCAAAACAACTTGCGCTGCATTGTTGTGTTAGCATGCTAATGCTAGCGATCTTTATTATGCTGGTATCTTCACACTGCATGTAAATTTACCTGAAATGAGCGTGATCTAGAAACACAGTTAAGCAGTGAGTACAGTATGTGATTCTTCTTTTCTCTAGTCCCTCAATTAAACAACTTTTATACACGAGGGGAGGAGTCAGCCGGACGTCCCGGCGATGTAAACAAACTGAAGATAGGAGACAGAGGATATACTTGATTTCTATTATATTTAAGCGTGAAAAATCACATATAAAGCCTTAAACATCAGGTTTAATGCTGCATTCAGGTGCTGCTCGGGTGGTCCAAGTTTCTGAGTTGGGAAGTCGTTCTTCCCGACTTTAGTGTGTTCAAGTGATTTCAGTTTGGAAAGTTGGAATGTTGTAACAACAGCAAAAAAAAAAAAAGCGTAGATGCTACGAAGAAGAAGATTAGTGAAATGTTACTGTTAAAAGTTATATCTGAGCAAAAAGTTGATGTGCAATAAGTAAATTACCAAAAACATATTTTGCCCCCGATGTGTTGACGATTCTGACGTGAAGTCGGGAAGTCGGGAACCTAATTCTTTTCCGAGTTTCCGAGTTGTTGTTCCGACTTGAGCAGGTGTTCATGTGCATTTTACAACTCGGAAACTCGTTTTTTTCCGATGTGTCCGACACCACATGAATGCAGCATATGCACCTTGCAATATCATTTAACCTACTAACTTGTTTTGAGTTCTGACACTGACATCGCTAAGTCAACAACACGATCATTCCCTGTGAGAACAAAACATCTCTGTCATATCGCACAATCTAAAATCTGTTTATCAAAACTTGTCATCTTTGTGTTTGGTCACTTCTGAGGTCGTCGTTTTTTTTTCATCTAACAATGATGGAATTGATTAAACAAATGCTGTGGAAGTTGAAGGAAATTCCAGGGGAAATAGGTAGCAAATGAAAGGCTTCGACGCTGCGGTCCACACCCTGTGAGCTGCACGACTTCTGGAACATTGTCCACTCAGTTTTGGTTGCATAGATTCTCAGATTTTCCTCCTGTTTAGACATCAGTGAGGTCTAACGGTGGTGTTGCATGATGAGGCCCTGGATGTCACTTCTCCTTAAAGGTTGTCGGGTGTGGTTGAGGTCAGGGATCTGTAGCTTTCGAGTTCTCTCTTTTCTATATGAAACAGAACTTTGTGCAAATCAAAGAAGGAAAGAAGCTCCTCAAAAAACAGATTCAAGAAAGTTTGTAGAACACTTAATCTAAGAAATACAATCCTAGGAACGAAAACATCCAAACCGTAAAAAAAACAGACCCAGAAATATATGTGCACTAAAGTGTTTTGACAGGTGAACCCCACCACCTTCTTCTTCTGCTGCTGCTTCTTCTTCTTCTTCTTATGTTGATTCACAGGTTTGTATTTGTCGGGGAAACACCAGACTGTTGCGCCCCGTGTTGCCGCGTCAAGCCACACAAATTAACATCTGATGACAGGATATGTACTTATAAAATAAAAGCATCCCAAAAGAAAAATACAGACGCAAAATCCCCGAAGCAAAACGATAATGCTAAAAATATCACCTAAAACGTTTAATGGAGTTTAGACATGTTTTAACATGTTTTAATCCAACAATATATTTTTTTATTTTAATGTTTCCAAAAATGTGTAATTTGAGCCTGCATATATAAACTACATTTAAAATATATCATTAACTTATTTAAAGCAGAGAAACCATCTGAAAAAAGTTTAAAATGATCACGGTATTAAACTTCATTTTAAGATGTTTGCGTTTTTTTTCTGCGCTCGGATTGGAAAATAAGAGCAGCATTTCTGAAAAATAAGTTCATATTTTCTTGTTATGCCTTTAAGTTTACTTTAATGTGGTTACAAGAAGGTAGAATATTACGTTAAGTCGTCAGTAATTCGCTTATCCTCGGCCTCCCATGGTTTGGGTACCAAAAAAAAGAAAAAGATTCGGGCTTTTATTCTGATAGGTTAAACTGGATGTTTTCCTTGTTTCACTCTTGTTAGCTTGTTGGAAATATTCCCCAGCAGCTCAGTCTCTCCTCTTCAGTGCAGAAAAAAAAAGAAAAGCTCACTCGCAGTGAAAAAACAATGAGGACGCACGACGCGCAACTCGCTCCAAGCGTCTCCAACAGCGACGGAGTTTTTCCTCCCGGAGGACCCGTAGCATGCGTCCGCGCACCCACCGGAGGGAGAAGGACCACGGGAATATAACTTGACAATCTGCGGAGTTTGTTATCTTTTTTTTATTTCAGGGAGGGGGGGGTGGGGGGTGGTTGGAAGAAATCATGCCTTTCTGCAAGCGGACGATACTTCCCAAAGATGTGTGCAAGCCCGCCGGCAGGAGGCTGCCGCAGAAGCAGGCGGAGGTTTTCGGGGACCTGGCGGATGTGTGCGGCTTCACCCTGTGCTCGGTGCTCCGGCAGCTCTCCGACCTGTCCCGGCACTCCGTGGGCATCCTGGAGGAGCTGGAGGGGGGAGCTGGTGTCTGTGTGCCACCGGTCCGGCGCGCTGGAGGGCAGAGTGGTCCGGCTGCAGAGGCGCGTCGCGGAGCTGGTCAGCAAACCTCCACCGAGAGGTAAGAGGACATTAACAAAAGCTTTTATAAAAACACACCTGGAGGCACTTTACTGTGTATGTGTCTGCAGGAGAAGAGGTGGCGCAGCTTCTCAAACTCCAGTAGAGTCCAGTCAGGGTGTCAAACTTTCATATCAGGATCATGTGAAGCTTGTCTGCAGAGATTTGTGGTTTTACTTCAGAGTCATGAGTCACAGTGGCTGTTTGGAGTTTGGCCTATATTGAGACATATTAAGGAGCAAGTGAGAGGTTTTATTAGGGAGGTTTTGTTATTCTCAGCTGCTGGAAATGTGACTTGCATTAAGTTGCTGCAGAAAACATCAGAATTGTAAACACTGAGGCATTCAATTCTGCACAAAAAGGTCTAAATTAGCATTATGTGATGTTTAAGGTTGTGTAGTTTTTTTTCAAGTTTGTCAATGACTGATATAAAACAGGTAAAAGATGATTTTTAAGTTGCTCCTTTGTTGCATTAAACTTAAACAATCCAGCTTGGACAAACCGAATGATATGCTGCCCAACTGTTTCAGACTGTGGTTGTGAGATGTGCAGGTCTACAGGGTGCTCCTGAAGGCAGCACGGTGTGGGTGTGTCAGGTGGAATGTGAGTTTCATACTTGTGTTTCTCCACCTGTCACTTTTGTCTCTCTTTTCAAATATTCTTGCTAGACTTTTGTCGTTAAGTTTTGGAGTTTTGGAGTGAATTTTAGAAATTTAAAGCGTCTGATTTTACTCACTTTGAAGTCAAGGCTCTCGATGTGTCGACAGGTGTTTGTTGTTGTTGAATGTTTGAGCAGATTCCGACACAGGAAGACAGTTTTACTTTCATTTTGCAGACGGATTATTTCCTTCTGCAGTCACTTTAAATCTGAACAAAAGTTTGTGACACCAAGTATAGTCCACTGAGAGTTAACTTTTCTGTTTAGTCGGAGCCCTTCTGTTAAACATATTTTCACATATTTTGTTTCTGTATTTTCAAGAAAGTTATTGAACCTTTTGCAGAAAAAAAAAAAACAGATATCAAGTTTTTCTTTTAAAAAGCAGAGTTCTGTATTTCTCCTCAAACATGGCAGGAGAACACACAGATTTGTCTCAAAAACACTGGTTTCCTACACTCTCTCCTGCTCTTGAACGCGTCCTGTGTGGACACAGATGGAGGGCTGAAGCTGCGTCTGCTGCTCGTGGTGTAGATAACTCTCATCCTCACGGTCTGAAACACTTTCAAAACTCTCTTCCACAGAAATAAATCACAAACTTTGTTGTTACAGTCAGACGTGGTTAAACGGACGTTTGGCCGTCTGCTCGTGTTTGTTTCACACTCGTGGCTTTTTTTGCCGCAGGTCAACAAAAAGGTGACGGTGAGGTTATTATTTCAGACTTTCAAGGAGTCATTTAAAGTGTCACAGTAACAATCTGTAACCTGCAATTACCCAGTGAAATGTTATGTCAGGTTAGAGTCCAAACAATCCAGTGTATCGCTCCATCAGGGGCGGACAAAAAAACAGTAAAGGCCTCTGGGCACTGAGCCCCCCAAAGCCCCCCCCCTACTGGAGACAGACTGACAGTTGCATCTCTTTATTGTTGTTGTTGTCTTGTTTAACCAACAAGAAATGTAAACATTCACATTTAGAAGATGCACTGGTCTATAGGCCTACTGACTGTAAGGGCCCCTGAGTCTTTGCATGTGTTTACACTGCATGGCTGCTTCTATACAAATGCATGTGACAGTAGTTCACCCAAGATGCATGATGGGAGATTTGGAGCCAATTTTGTCTCCCTGCAAACTTTGCAAAAACTCATCACATATGTTTTTTTTTTTTGTTTTGATTGCATCGCAGCTTCAGAGTGTTGGAAATGAATCGAGCAGGTCGGCTGTGAAGAAGTTTACGAGGCTGTCAGCTGTGTGTGTGTGTGTGTGTGTGTGTGTGTGTGTGTGTGTGTGTTACCACGTACAGCACGATAAGAGAAAGTCTCCTCCAAACACAGACCAGATGTGAAGCCGGGGAGACGAGAGGACAAAAAGATAAAACGCAGCTCGGATTTTTAGTTTACTTTTACAGAGTGGATCCCACCCTGTGTGTGTGTGTGTGTGTGTGTGTGTGTGTGTGTGTGTGTGTGTGTGTGTGTGTGTGTGTGTGTGTGTGTGTGTGTGTGTGTGTGTGTGTGTGTGTGTGTGTGTGTGTGACAAAGACAATAGAGGTGTTTCTGTGCGCTGTTAGAGGCAAAGATCCTCCTCAGTCCTCACATTGTGTGTGGGTTCTTACTGTATCACAAACATGTGGGCAGAAAAACACGGCTAACGGATCAATAGAGCCGAGCCCAAAACCTTCATCTCTCATCATCGTCATCATCTCTCACTTTTTCTCTTTTACCTCCCACTTTCTCTGCAAAAATGAAAACATTCATCCAGCTTTCCCCAAAAGAATAACGAGACGAGTATACTCGGGGTTTCCTCCTTTGCAGATTCAAAAGGCTTTGTTGTGAATCTTTGCTCTAACATCCAGTTCCTCCACTGCAATGAACGTTACTTTAACTTAAAAATACTCTGCATATATGCATTGTGAAAGTCTCTTTGACCCTTTGAATAATTAAAGCGTGCAAAGGTTAGAATAGAATAGAATAGAATAGAATTACTTTATTGATCCCAAACTGGGAAATTGTGGCGTTACAGCAGCAGGTTATCCAAACACGCAATATGAGCAAAAAATGGAATGGGAATGGGAATATATACAACCAGGATTTAACTTAGCATTACTAGTCTAAGGTTGTCAAAATGTTCAATACTTTGATACCAACGTTTAAAAACAGTACGATGTCTGGTGTTTTATTGATTAATCAATCAAATCCAAAAGTTCTGTGTGCAATGATCTGCACGCCTAAATCCTTGGAGTTTTTAAGAAATGAGAAATTAATTTGTGATGTTGTTTACTTCCATCCCTCTGGCTGCAGGAAGATGCTGTAGTGGATTAAATGTGGGATCCCAAATGGCACACAATGAATGCGATAAAACAAAATTAATGAACCGTTATTTTTGAATGTGTGACGTATGATCGTCATCCATTGTTTTATAAAAGTGTAAATATGTAAAACTTACAATCTTTTCCCTCCTCTTAATTGGCTGACATTCCCCCTCTCCACCTGCCAAAAACAGTGAAAGTCGGTCAGAGTTGCATAAGGCAGCGCTGTAACACATGTTCCAGGCGGTGATGAGGGGATTTTTCCACCCTATTTGGAGTTCCTTCAGGGAGTCAGATCTCCTGAGCTGCTCCCAGTGGTCCTTGACACGGTGGAGTTCCGCAGGGATCAGGTTCTGGTTTCCTTCACATTGGGCGGAGGTGAAGAGTCGCGCTGATACAGGAGGAAGGGGATGCTAGTTGTATCTTTGCAAGTGTTGATAGCGCAAGAGTTTTACGGGCCATGTGTGTGAACCAATTTCCTTTGGAAGTTGTCGCTCAGAGGGGGGACTGAACTTCAGGAGGTTTGTCCTCTGCAGCTTTCTGTTTCTCACACTGGTTGTGTTTCCTGCTGGCTGCTGGTGACCCTGTGAGTGGCAGGAGTATCCCAAGTATGTGAGTGGAAACCGAAGTTTCATGTTTTTCTTTTGGTGCTTTTTTTTCCAACTTAATTCTCTGGGAAACCACATTTTTCCTTTCAACCTCAAAATCAAATTTTAAAAGTTTGTTTAGTGTGTTCCTGACTCGGGCTGAGGAGCTCAAACAAGACCCGGTTTCACTTTTTGACAACTCCCACATAGTGATATCCAAGCAGGTGTTTTCCCTCAGCAGTTTAAGAACATCCCCTCTGCTATGACTTCACCTGCTAGTTTGTGGTCTGAACTGCAACTTGCAAAACATCTAATATAATGGCTTACACATAGCAAATCACTTTCTAAGGACATTTTGTTCATCATTTGAACGGGTTTTAAGCTCTACCCTTAATGTTTAACGCTGTTGCATGGCACGAGTCCTGGATGTGCGAAGTCAAATGAACTTTGTCACCATAATAGCAACAATAACCAAATAACTAAATGTTGGGAAGTGGTCAGAGTTTGGTAAGGTTAAGGAACCAAAAAAATACTTGTTTAGGGAAAGAAGCATGTTTTATATTTATATGCAATCATTGCTCTTTGCTGCTGTAACACTGTAAATTTCCCCATTGTGCGATAAATAAAGGATTATCTTATCTTATCTTATCTTATCAGTCACATAAGTTTTGTAAGAGAAATAACTCAACATAAAAATAAACAAGTCAAAGTAAACTTTTGTCTACTTTTGACTTCTCCCGATGTTAACTTAACTGATCATATGATATGATGCACCGTTTAGTGCCCTTGGGGAAATTCATCTTCTAAATTAACTTAAAAAACTTCAGTTCCTTGAGCGTCCACTTGAGCAGAATCCAAAAGCCAAGGAATCCCCATCAGATCCATTTTTTTTTTTTTTTACCGCTTTTACTGTTCGGGGTTGCGGGGTGGGAGCTGGAGCTGATCCCAGCTGCCATTGTGGGCGGGGTTACACCCTGGACTGTTCACCAGTCAATCACAGGGCTGACATATAGAGACAGACAACCAGCCACATTCACAGCTACTGGCAATTTAGAGTCACCGGTTAACCTAACAAGCATTGTTTTTGGACTGAGTACCCGGAGAGAGCCCACGCATGCACAGGCAAAACATGCAAACTCCACACAGAGAGGCTCCTGTCCTAAGGGGATTCGAACCAAGACCCTAATCCACCTAGCTAACCATGGCACCACCGTCCAGCCCTCCCCATTTGATCTCATATCAAAACCCTAATTTTTATAGCAGAAATAAAAACGTCCAAGATGATGGAACTGAGCCAAGGTTGTGAGTTTAGTTTAAAGATAATAAAGCATACCTCGGTATGTTAGCCTCAACCAATACCAATTAAGGACAAAAGCTGCACTCAGCTCTGCAGCAGGCTGCTGAAATGCATTAAACATCACACACTGAATGTAAGGAACTACGGAGTTTCCTTCCAAC